AATACAGTAGTTTATGTATTTTTGAATATGATCTAAATGGAATCATACAGGTTGTACTCTTATTTTGTCTGTTTTTTTTTTTTTAACTCAGCACAATTATTTTGAAGTCCATTCAAGTTGTAGAGTGTATTTATGGCTTATTTCTTTTTATTGTTGGATAGTATTTCAACAATAGTATTTCAATGAATAGTATTTAAATGGCTAAGCACGATTTATTTATTCACCTGTGGATGGACATTTGTTTCCAATTTTGGGCTCTCACAAATAAAATGGCTGTGAACATTCATGTATAAGTCTTTGTGGGACATATACACTCATTCCTTTCTCTTGGTAATTAGCTAGGAGTGGAATGGCTATATCTTATGCTATTCTAGGTGTCTGGTTAACATTTTAAGAAACTGCCAAACTGTTTGGCCAAGTGGCTGTACCTTTTACATCCCCTAGCAGCATATGAGAATTCTTGTTCCTCCATATCCTTACCAACACTTGACATAGCCAGGTTTTAAAATTTTAGTCATTCTAATACATTTGTAGTGTCCTCTTATCATGGTATTAATTTGCACTTCGCTAATAACTAATGACATTTTGCACATTTTTATCTACTTATTTACCATTCATGTACACACACACACACACACACACACACACACACACATACACACAGATCCATCTGTTCACATGTTTTTCTCTTTTTAAAACTGTATTGTTTCCTTGTTTTTAATTTTTGTGTGTTCTTTAGTATACAGAAGAATCTTGCCTTAACAATAGGAAATACTTAGTCCTAAAATGAGTACTTCTCTGCCACAATTAACTAATCTCAAAAGCAAGAGCCCAAAAGATCAAACTCTTTCTGACCGATTTGACTGTGCTCCAGAACAAAGTTCAAGGTATGTATAGGAATATAAGAATATTCAGCAACCAAAGTAAAATTTGCAGTGTCTGGGATCATTCCACAATTACCACCTTGCAAAGAAGCAGAAGAATATGGCCTCTAATGGAGAGAAAAAAATTAATTGCAATTGACCCAGAACTAACACAGATGTTAGAATGAACAGGTAATGGTACTGAAGTAGTAATTATAACCATAAATGTATGTTGAAAAGTTAAGTAGGAACATGAATAAGAAAAATCCATACAGAATATTTAGAAATGAAAACTATAATGCATGATAAAAAAAAAAATCACTGGGAGTAACAGCAGATTTGATATTGCAGAAGAAAATATTTGTGAACTTGAAGACATAGCAACAGAAACTGTTGGCAGTGAAACACTGAAAGATAAAAGAATTTTAAAAATAAAAAAATCATCAGTGAGCTGTGGGAAAGATTTAAATGGCCTAATATATATGTAATTGGAGTTCCCAAAGGAGAAGGGGGGGGGAGATATTTGAAGAAATATTGGCTCAAGAATTTCCAAATTTGATGACAACCCACAGATATAAGACTCTCAATAAACCCCAAGCATAAGAAACATGATGAAAACTGCACCAAAAGATGTCAGAATCAAATTAACTAAAACCAGCCTTAAAGAAAAAATATTAAAAATAGCCAAGGGAAAAAGAAATATGTACTAAGGAGCAAAGGTGAGAGTGACAGCAGATATCTTATCAGAAACATTGCAAAGGAGAAGATAATGAAGCAATATCTTTAAATTACTGAAAGGAAAAAGGAAGACCCTGCCAACCCAGAATTCTATACCTAGCAAAAAAAAATCTTTCAAAAACAGAGATGAAACACGGACTCTTAAAGAATTACAAAAGCTGAAAGAATTCATCACCTGTGTCCTTAGCACTATAAGAAATGTCAAAGGAACTCCTTCAGGTAGAAAGAACTCCTTTCAGGTAGAAAGAAAAGGGATCTATACAAAAGAATGAAGAGCACTGGAAATGGTAGCCACATAGGTAAATATGTAGGAACTTTTTTCTTATTTAAATATCTTAAAAAGACAACTGACTGAAAAACACCAATGTTGGGTGGGGATTGTGACATAAGTAAAAGCATAATGAATGGTAACAATTGTTTAAAGGTGGGGAAGGGAGAAATGAGCCATATAATTATATGCTGACTACAAAAAATGTACTTTAAATATGAAGAAAAAATAGATTAAAAGTAAAGATATACCATATTAACACCAAGCAGAAGAAAACTGGAATAGTTGTATTAATAGCCAATAGATTTCAGAACAAAGAATATTCCCAATGATAAAGGAAGTTGGTTGATAAAATGATAAAGGACTCAATTCATCAAGAGGACATAACAGTTCTAAATGTTTATTACAGCTTTGAAATACATGACACAGGAAGCTGGAGGGGAATTCTGAAATAATTTATCTAGTCTAACTGCTTTCTCTCTCTCTTTCATTCTCCCTTCCCTCCCTCCCCCCCCTTTTTTTTTTAAATTTCTCATCTTCCTTCTCCTCCTCCTCATTTTACAAATGAAGAAACCATGTCCTGAGGTAAAATAACTGCAGAGGTACACATCCAGTGAGAAACATCTTCACACTTTTTTTTTAACTTTATTTATTTTGAGAGGGAGAGAGAGAGAAAGTGGGGGAAGGGCAGAGAAGGAGAGAGAGAGAGAGACAGAGAGACAGAGAGAGAGAGAGAGAGAGAGTACCAAGAAGGCTCTGCACTGTCAGCATGGAGCCTGATGTGGGTCTTGAACTCATGAACTGCGAGTTCATGACCTGAGTGGATGTCAAGAGTTGGACGCTTAACTGACTAAGCCATCCAGGCACCCCAGCTCTTCCTAATTCTTATCTAGGGCCTTTCCTTCTTCACTGCACTTTACTGAGCTTGAACAAACATTGTCTTTGAAACATTAACAACTCTTAAAGTGAAGGTATTAATGATGCATAAATAAACAGACCACTAGATAGAAAACAGAAGTGTGACCTAGACACTATTCCTCATTTGTTGACAGTTGATTGGCATCAGCCAGCACAGAAACCAAACAAAAGGGGAAACTCCTGCCTTGTGGTTTGAGAATTGTTCATTGAATTCCTGCTTTTAGGAGAAGTCTGAGGACCTTGGGATAGGAATCCTTTTTAGTAGTCATCATACCTTTCTGGCACTGGATGGGCAAGACCCCTTAAGTACATGACTTTTTTGACATGAATATACTGGTGAGGCTTCTCTAAAATAGTGGCTGCCATAGGCTGCCTCCGGCCTGTGCTGTCAACATACCCAATGGCCCAGTTCTGCCAGCTGGCCCATGAATTCGCATGGAAATCAATTACTAGCTGAGCAAGAGCTATGGGAGACTCTGAGTGCTGACCCGTGCACTGGGATAAAGAGAATCAAATGCAGGGTCATCTGAGGTCAAGCCCATGGCTTTGGATAGCCATTTGTCATGTAGAATTGGTCAGAGAACCATAAACACAAGAAGCAATGAGTGAAGTTAACTAATTATACACAACTGTGGCCATAGCTTGGGCTGATCAGACAGGGCAAGGCAGAGGCAGTTAGAATGCAAAAGTTTGTTTAAAAACATAGCTTTTCCCAGCCAGAAATGGTGGAGTCAGCACTGGAAAGACATGAGTGGGAGTTAGAGCAGCCGTCTTCAATTTGGGGGCCATGGAACATGGGTTTGGAGAGGAGGGTAATTTCAAGGCTCCCCGACAATTAGACCAATGAGAACTGCATTATGTCAGCCTAGGGTAACTACCTTCTGTCAAAAACAGAAGGTTATAAAAAAATGCTTCTCACTGAACAGTAACTCTGGGGTAATGTAATCCAGAGCTCCAACGAAGAGAGGTTGGCTGCTGGACAGTCAGCCAGATTAGTTTATCCATCTCATTTATTAGTATAAAGCAGGGTTCAAAAGAAAAAAAAATCTCTACCATCAGTATGCCATAAAGACTTTGGAGTTACACAGGTTTGAGTTCAAATCTCTTCTCAACTGCTAGCAACTATGTGACTAGGTCAAATTAATCAATTTTTCTGAACCTCAATTTCCTCAGCCATAAGAGAAGGAGGATTCTATGTGCCTCATAGGATTGTTGTAAGGATTAGGACTACTATACGCATGTACGTAAGGTCCTTCACCTGTAGCAGGAGTTGGTAAAATGGTGCTCTTCCTGCTCCTGTTCATTATCACATGGGTGACTTTGGGCAAGCTGACTTCTACTTCCTTTGCCTTTCGTATAGGTGGGGTTTTTTGTTTTTGTTTTTGTTTTGAGAGAGAGAGAGAGAGAGAGAGAGAGAGAGAGAGAGAGAGAGAGAATGCAAGCAGGGGAGAGGGGCAGAGGAAGAGAGGGACAGAATCTTAAGCAGGCTGGATGCTCAGTGTAGAGCCTGACACAAGGCTCAATCCCACAACCCTGGGATCATGACCTGAGCTGGAACCAAGAGTTGGACACACAACCAACTGAGCCACCCAGGTCCCCCTTTGCCTTTAGTTTAGTTTCGTTTAGTTTTGTCTCAGAGTAGAAAAACTAGGAACGTAACTCTGGTACTAGACCAAGCTGTGCCACCTTAGGTGCTAAACCAGAGCTACCACCTGGGAATGAACACTAGAATCCTTTCTCCCCTATGGGGTATATAATACTGCCTCCCCCTCCACCCAGGTGGTAAAGGTGGATTTAACCCTTGGGGTGTTTTTTTGTTTTTTTTTTTTGAGATTAAATGTGAAATTGCAAAGGCCAGGTCTCTGCATTATGTACATACTGAGCTAGTTCCTCTAACCCTAAACTGTGTACCTAAACTATGTAAACTATGGCCACGATTAAATATATTTAATTAAATATCTATAAAAAGCAATAATATGTCAACGTTCCATTGCAATTCAGTTAATTGATTTCATAATTATTATACATTCTATTTGATTTTGGCAATTGGCTTTAGGCAGTTAAGGATGTTTATAGAGGAATCCTGCCCAGCAGTGGTAGTTGCCCTGTTTATAATCCCATAGGACCCCATAGGATCCAACTCTCTGAACAACAAACATAAAAACAACAAGTCTCAAAGCAGACCCAAACTCCAAAATAAGAGACATAATCACCCCCTTCCCCACCTTTACTAAGGTGTTTTTTCACACTTCTGCTGGGTTAGGTAGAAACTCTTCTAATCTTGTCAGCTAAAATTTGGGCTGGGTATCTCTCTTTTTTTTTTTTTTAACATAAAAATAAAATAATAAAACCAGGGTTAATGCCTCAGTTTTTCCCCTAAAAGGGATAAAGGAGTTGACATTGGAAATCTTGCCTTCTGCATACTGCTTCCTGACAGGGTCTTTGCAGAAGTCCCACAGTAGAACATACCATGTGGAGAGACTAAAAGCTTGAGGGTGCTGTATTAGGATTCTTCAGAGAAAGAGAATCCATTAAAAAAAAAAAAAAAGATTTATTATAAGGAGTTGACTCATGTGATCATGGGGGCTAATAAATTCCAAGATTGGCCATTGGCAGGTTGGAGACCTGAGAGTAGTTTGAAGGCCAGAGAATCGGAAAAGACAATGGTGTGAATCCAGTCCAAAAGCCAGTAGGATTAAGACTCAGGAAGAGCCAGTGTTTTGGTACAAGTCGGAAGGCAGAAAACACCCCATACCCCAGCTCAAAGGTAGTCAGGCAAGATGAATTCCCTTTCATTCAGGAGAGGATCAGTCTTTTTGTTCTCTTTAGGCCTTTGACTGATTAGATGAGGCCCACCCACATTAGTGTATAGCTGCACACCAGACTCTAAGCCAAGGGTGGGTGATGGTCCAGCAAGATTGAAGAAAAAACAGAGAGAGTGATTGAGGTTTATTGGGGGGATTTATGTCCAGGGAATCCAGGAGCAGCTGACTGGACAAAGCACCTGCTTCTTGGATCGACAGGCAGCAAGTTCTTATAGTATAGCAGCTTAGCCTGGCAACTCTCTGTTACCCTTCCCTTCCTTGCACAGCCAGCATTCCAAGGAGATGAAGGCCTACTCTCTGGACATTCTTGTTACAAGGGAGATGCTCTGGGTTGGCCCCTCCCAGAGCACCCAACCTTACATGCTGAACAACACATTTTTCTGTACATTCTGCATGGTGGGAATAGGGAGGGAGGAGAGGATCTCTATATTCTCAAGAGAGGGGTGAGCAGGACATTCAGGATGTGCTTGCACAAACTAGCTATCCAGTATGTACCAGGGAGGGCAGTCTGCTTTATTCAGATCATTTATTTAAATGTTACATTCATGCAAAAACACCCTCATAGTCGTCTGGTTCAAGATGGCACCATAGGAAGATCCTGAACACACCTCTTCGCACAGACGCACTGAGATTACAACTACACATGGAACAATTTTCTCTTAAAAAAGCCCTCAAAGACTGGCTGAGTGATGACTACACATTAGGTGAACAAGAAGAAAACCATATTGAAGTGGGTAGGAGATCCTGGACACACTGTCATCATAAACCCTACCCCTGGGATGGTGTCCCATGACTGGGAAGGAACTTGGAACCTGGAGCCTCTCTCTGAGAAGTGAGGGGTTCATACCCCACATTAAGCATCCCAACTTTTGAGATGTACACTTAGATAAACCTCCTGAACACCAGGCTTTGAAAACCCACAGGGCTCATATCCTGAGACCCACCTGACTCCAGCAATCTAAGAAGTCTCTCTGAGAGAGCTCACCACGTCAGACTCGCCTGCCCCAGGCCCAGCTTAGAGGCAGCCAATCATGCCCAGACTTAAAGTGAAGGAGACTTGCCTTATATTAAAGCATTGGCCTGAAGGGCAGATATCTCATTTAACACTCATATCTAGGAACCTGCTGGAACACACTCTCTGAGGGATGGAGTCTTGAGTACTATCTTCACACTTTCTTAGCCATTCTCCAGAGCACCAGTGTTTCTTGGTGGGAAGACTTTGTATGCATCTGGTGCTCCAATTCTTGTCGCTGTCTCCAAGGAGACGCCTCTTGATTGGGTGGTTCTGGAGACCAGAGGAGCTTGTGCTCCTGGTCACATGGGATTATAATACTCAGTGTTACCCAGAAAGGAGCTCATACACTAGTCTGGCATCCTCATTTTTTGCAGCTGGTGTCAGGGGACACCTCCACATCACCAGACTCTGTTGACCAGTAGGGTTTATGCTTGTGGGTCCCAAGGATTGTAACCCATGGACAAAGAGTTCTTAAATAGCTACAACCCTCAGGGCACAGCGAGCAGCAAGGGGCTCAAGAGCTCCTCTTTCCGTGAAGTAGGCCTATTAGCTAATCGTCTGCCCCGGGGGGAAGCCTCTTGATCACTTGTCTCTGGCGGCTATTGTAGGCTTGCACGCCTGGGCCCTACAGGCCTGTGGCAATCAAAGAGATGGTTCTTGGCAGGCTACCACCTGCAGGACACTGTGCAGTCTTTCTGTGAAGAAGCCTTCTTGGCTCCCTCTGGAACATCAGCCAGAGGGTACAAGCTTTGGGTTTGGCACACTTTAGTGGCCTATGGAGCTGCTCTTAAGGAACATAGGTTGCGGATGCCATCTTGGCACTCTCCCTCTGCTTTGCTCCAACTTCCCAGTATCACCTAGAAAAGAACTTCCATATTTATCTGGAGATCTAATTTCTGCAACTGCCATTCAGAAGACATGTCCAGATGGCCTGGCTCTGGGGACCAGTGGGCATATTCATGCCCAGAGGACTGTTTTTATTTGCATACTTTTAGAAGCTGATGCCTGAGGGTCTGGCTTTCAGTCAGCCTGAATCTAAATGCTGAGATCCTCCCTTTTGGGACCCTGACAGGTCTTGGCAGTCCTCAACTACTGGGATCTATTTAAAATATAATACGTTGCTGGATAAGCACGGAGGCTTGAGAGACAGCCAAGAGCTGAGGCAGAGTTGAAGAAGGGTCATCTCCTACGTGAGGCCACGCCTTCAAGACTGGGAGAGGTGGTTGTTACATTTCCTATATAGAAGCCAACACAGAGTCAAGCAAAATGAAGAAACAGAGAATATGTCCAAGTGAAAGAACATGATAAAACCTCAGGAAAAAACCTTGATGAAACAGAGATAAGTAATTTACCTGATAAAGAGTTCAAAGTAATGGTCATAAAGATGCTTACTGATCTTGGAATAAGAATGGATGACCATAGGGAGGATTTCAACAACAACAACAACAACAACAACAACAACAACAACAACAACCACAACCACAACAACAAAATAGAAAATATAAGAAAGTACCAAGTAGAAGTCACAGAGCTGAAGAATACAGTAGCTGAACAAAAAATATACACTATAGAATCTCAGCATCAGACTAGATGAGCAGAAGAAAGCATCTGTCAACTTGAAGACAAAGGCAGTGGAACTCAATTAGGCAAGAGGCAAAAAGAATGAAGAAAAGTGAAGATAGCTTATAGGGCAACATGAAATGAACTAATGTTTGCATTCATAGGGCTCCCAGGAGGAGAAGAGAGAAAGAAAGGGACAAAAACCTTACTTGAAGAAATAATGGCTGAAAAAATTCCCTAGGCTGAGAAAGGAAACAGACATCCAGATCCAGGAATCCCAGGGAGCTCCAAATAAGAGGAATGCGAAGAGACCCACATGAAGACACGTTATAATTAAAATGTCAAGGGGCGCCTGGGTGGCGCAGTCGGTTAAGCGTCCGACTTCAGCCAGGTCACGATCTCGCGGTCCGGGAGTTCGAGCCCCGCGTCAGGCTCTGGGCTGATGGCTCGGAGCCTGGAGCCTGTTTCCGATTCTGTGTCTCCCTCTCTCTCTGCCCCTCCCCCGTTCATGCTCTGTCTCTCTCTGTCCCGAAAATAAATAAAAAACGTTGAAAAAAAAATTAAAAAAAAAAAATGTCAAATGTTAAAGGCAAGGAAAGACTATTAAAATCAGTGAGAACAGGGGTGCCTGGGTGGCTCGGTTGGTTAAGTGTCGATTTTGGCTTAGGTCATGATCTCGCGGTTTGTGGGTTTGAGTCCCACGTTGGGCTCTGTGCTGACAGCTCAGAGCCTGGAGCCTCCTTTGGATTCTGTGTGTCTCTCTCTGTCCTTTCCCTGCTCACACTCTGTCTCTCTCTCTCTCAAAAATAAACATTAAAAATTAAAAAAAAAAAATCATCAAGAACAAAGCAACTTGTTACATACAAGGGAACCCCCATAAGACTACCAGCAGATTTTTCAGCAGAAGCTTGGCAGACCAGAAGGGAGTAACATGATATATTCAAAGTGCTGAAAGAAAAAAAAAGGCGCTTCCAACCAAGAATACTCTACGTGGCAAAGTTATTCAAAAGTGAAGAAGAGAGGGGCGCCTGGGTGGCGCAGTCGGTTAAGCGTCCGACTTCAGCCAGGTCACGATCTCGCGGTCCGTGAGTTCGAGCCCCGTGTCGGGCTCTGGGCTGATGGCTCAGAGCCTGGAGCCTGTTTCCGATTCTGTGTCTCCCTCTCTCTCTGCCCCTCCCCTGTTCATGCTCTGTCTCTCTCTGTCCCAAAAAATAAATAAATGTTGAAAAAAAAATTAAAAAAAAAAAGTGAAGAAGAGAGAAAAAGTTTTCTAGACAAGCAAAAGCTAAAGGAGTTCATCACCACTAAATCAGCCTTATAAGAAATGTGAAAGGAATATTTTTAAGCTAAAAGGAAAAGGTACTAATTAGTAATAAGAACACATATGAAAGAATAAATCTCACTGGAAAAGTAAATACAAGATAAAGGCAGTGGATTAGTCACATAGAGCTAGTATGAAGGTTAAAAGACAAAAGTAGTAAAAATAATTGATTATGATAATTAGTTAAGAGATATACAAGGTAAAAAAGATGTAAAATATGACATCAAAAACATAAAACACAGGGTGGAAAGGTAAGAATAATGTTGAGTTGTACACTAGGATCAAACTTAAATTATCAACTTAAAATAGATTATTATAGATCTAAGTTGTTATACGTAAACCTCATGGTAACCACAAAACAAAAAATTATAGTAAATACACAAAAGATAAGGAGAAAGGAATGTAAACATATCGCTAAAGAAAGTCATTAAACCACAAAGGAAGAGAGCGAGAGATGAAAAGAACCGAAAGGAACTACAAAAAACAGCCAGAAAATAATGAACAAA